AGAGAGAGAGAGAGAGAGAGAGAGAGAGAGAGAGAGAGAGAGAGAGAGTGAGTGAGTGAGTGAGGCAGGGAGAAATGGCACAGAAGATTAACGGCTTCTATTATTTTTCACTGAGTGCGTCTCGTTTCAACGGCACTCTATATTTCACCATGCGATAAAATGAAAAACAAACAAGAAGTGAAAAAAAGAACCATAGACGCGCACCAAATAGATGCGAATATTTGCCGACGAACGAAATTTTGCGGATGACATCGAATTTCAAATGAAAGCATTCGACTATAGACATTTGACATGAAAATGTAACAAACATCAAACAAAGTGCAAATTACGCAATAATTCACATCAACGCACATTTCGCCGATTTATTTGCATTAAAAATAAATGCTATTCACCAGTCCAACGGCAGAAAGACGCATCGCGTTAGCTCGCGCACAAATTCACATTTAAACGACAAAGTAAGCGAAATGTGAATCAGCTGTCAAATATGGTTTTTGATTATATGGTAAAATGCTTTAAATCATTATACACTAGTATACACTAGACTAATGGCAATGTGACTCGGTCGCAGTGAGTGAATGCGTGAGTGAATTGAGTCAGTAAATGCAATTTAGTCGCGTGTTGTTTATCATTTACCGGGCTTTTAAAGACAAAAAGAAACACAAGCGTACCGTTGGTTTTTTTTTGTCGTTGCTCTGTTTTGGCAACACACCATTAATTTTCTCAATGTGCACCGACGAAACGCACGCTTAAACCTTTTCACGACTTTCTCTCTCTTTCTCTCTCTCTCTCTCGCTCTCTCTCTCTCTTCGCACAAAATATTCACAACAATTAATGTGACAGACACAAAAGGTTTTCAATATGCGTTATTCATTATACAATGTTTTTAAAGCGGTAAAAACCTCAGCTCAAAACTCAGCGCCTTAAACACATCGTTGATGAAACTTACATAGTCATAATATCAGAGATCGTTTCATCTTGATCTCACAAGTAATGCTTTCGTTTTGTATCGTGCACTTTCAAAACATATGCGAAGCATTTAGAATGTTTTCTATATAATTCGCGAGAAAAAAAAATTACTGGCTCTGTTCAGCATCACAATTCCGATGTTTTTGTTTTTTCTTTATATTTTAGATTCTTTTTTCATAACAAAACATTCTTCTTAGAATATACTAACAGAGAATTAATTCTTACTTTCAATAGAGATTATTAATCGGAACCTTTATACCACCCTAAACATGATTTATCACACTGTTAGGCACATCTGATAATCTTACGGTATTAATCAATGTGCTTCCATCGTTTTTTGTTAATTTTATTAAAAAAAAAATTTCAACTTTATAATTTCTTTTATCCATTGTTACATAGGTATTACTGGCGTTTTTTCATTGAATTAAGGTTAATTGATAGATAACATCCTTTTAAGACGTTTGTGAAAAGAAGAATGTACAAACCCAAAATTAAAAACAAAAGAATTAATGAATATTTGATAGATGTGTTGGTACGGTGTCGAACGTTTTGTGTGGAAGTTGATTTGTGATGAAAAATGTTTTTGATTGATTTCGCTAAATTGATTTTCGTGTTTTGTTTTTTTTTGTGTGGATGGGGTGGTATGTATGTGTAGTGGATTGTAGAGCTTGAATAAAATGCTTGTGTTCAAAATAAAATAAATCTAAATATTGAACGACGGTATTTGGTGTCTAACAAGCAATAAATATTGTTCAAAAATATGAGTGAATCGAAATTACATTTTCATTTGGGATGACGGCAAACGTGTGTTTGATTGATTGTTTCGTCGTGAAATTTTGAATCGAATCATCCCAATTAAAAAGTGATTTCCGACTAAATCGGCTAATCAATAGCCAAACTGAATTTGAAGCGTACAGCAACAGAAAAAAAACGCAAACAAATGTTCAATTCAATTGTAAATTAGGGGAGAAAAACGTAAGCGGAGAGAGAAAAAAAAATGTGTGTATCTCATTCCTCGAAATGAAATCAATTAATAAAAAAGGCACCAAAAATAGAAAAAAGACCACTTACTCATACTTAAAATCACAAAATGAGAGAAAAACATGGCATGCAATTGTTGTATTTCGTTTTTTTTTCTGGGGTTGAGGAAGTTTGTGAAAATATTTGCCTCTAGATATTTACACTAGATAGATAAATAGTTTTTAGACAGCTAACTTTTGGGTGAATAAAAAACGGTTCATGCAAAGTTCACGCCATTCAAGTGTACGACATACATTTCGGGAGTTTCGGTTGGAAAGCTAACTTTTTTTAGTTGTCGTTGTGTACTGGAAATTCAAATCTCAAATGTGCATATTTGCGTGAACAGTTCTTTATCTACCTCAAAATTATGGTGGAGTATTCGTCAAAGAAAAAAAGTACGACAAAAACAGTAGAATAAAAACAAAATCAAAATCTAAACTACAAAACATTCACAATTACTTTGAAAAATCCTTTCTACATTGTTGTTTTTTCTATGGTATACAAAAGAGCTCTAATCATAAATCGATTTGAGAAAAAGACAAAGACAAAAAAGTGAATGCAGAAAGAAAAGAAAACCTTATTTTATATGCACACACGATTCGTAAATGCGCTATTTGTTTTTTTTTCTCTTGGTTTTATGAACAAAAAGAATGAGAGAAGAAGAAGAAGTTTATTACCTTGTAAAAATTGCAGCAACCGCCCATGCAGCCAGACATATCATCAGCGCTCGGGTTTTTGTGCAAACGTAGCCAGCTTTTAACGGTTCACAAATCGCATAATAACGCTCAAATGATATTGCCAAAATAGTAAGAACACTTGCATGCGCCACAGTCAATTCAACAAATGGTACTGCTTTGCCTGTATGAAGAATGGAAAGAGAGAAAGAGAGAAAGAGAGAAAGAGAGAAAGAGAAAAAAAACGGAGAAAAAAACGGATGGAAAGAAGAGAAAAAAAAACAAATCAATCCCAAAGCAAATCGCAAACGTGGTAAACAATATCCAGAGCCGTCACTCCAAGTGTTCACTTTGTTCATTTGAAGTGGCGTCAGCTTTGCGCCGCAAATCGCTTCTCATTTGACCGCTTGGAATGACGGCAAGTGAAATTCAAATAAAAATAGTGTTGGCGTCGACAATTTTGATTGGCAATGAGACAGGTTAACAGTGCCATCAATTTCAATATGCGACAATAATCATAACCATAAGCCTTTCAAAATTATTACATCGTTGCTGAACAATAATAGAAATCATCAGAGACGGAGACGGCAAAAAAGTGCATTTTTAGAATTTGCCTCTCAGTGAACGAACTAGTGTACATGGCAAACACACAAAGATCATGCACCCGACAAAAAACTTATTTTAAAAGCCACACGGCGAACATTTGTTCGATTGCAAACGGTCCATATTATTCGTTTTATCCGTTTTATTGGTGTTACTCTTCCGAGAGCGGTGCTTTGCTGGAGATCGACTCACTTCTCCTCTCCACCGATTTATTTCTTCTTCTCCTAGCTCGTCGTCGGCGGCGATAATTAATTTCTTATTTATTGACATTACTTAAACACACACATACACACTCAAAAGCGAGACGTGTTGTGTCAACAGCGTGAGCGCACATTGAACATTGTTGATGCGAAACGCGACAAACATTCGCGTGTTATAAATTTTGGTAAATAATTCACTTACGACCCGTTGTTTATATGAAGCGTTGAGTAAGTAACGATTTTCGTTACGTTTCATTTCATTTTGGCGAGGATAGAAATTGTCATTAATGAAGAAAGCATTTGATGTTAATGATTGACGTGTTTTGTGAAACGGACGCGCAAACTCTGAGTGAGTAGCGAGAATGAATGCTCGAATGTGCTGTGTTGACGATTGCCTGCTCCTTTGCATCACTCATCTGGGTAATTTTATTCATTATTATTCGTATACACAAATACCGAAAAATTTTTACATTAGCAACACAAAATCTGATCATTACCGAGCCCCTTGACTTGAAGAAGAAGCGAGAACGAGAGAGAAAGGCAAACGAAGAATCGCACAACGTTCGAGCGAATGAGAAGCGAACAAATCAATTCGACTACAGTGCACGATAAGACATAGCAATGGTATGTGTCAACAAAAGTGTACAGAATACGCCTCATTTTTCTCAGCATCGAGAATGATTAGAAAAATTCAATCATTCAATGTACAAAACGTATCAATTGATTTTGAAAATCATGGCATAAGGCAGTTTGTGTTCTGTCAAAACTTGGTGTCATTTTGGGTGGCTTAACCAAACGCTGGACACGTTTCTGCCGCTCTATGAATCACTGCTACTTTCCGTTTTCGTTTTATTTTCTTTTTCTATCGACTTTCACATCGGAATCACTCATTCATCCTCCCTTCCCTTTGTTCTCCTTCTCGCCCCGTTTTCATTTCCTTCTCTTACTCATATCGTACTCACTCCGTGGTTTTGCTTTGCAGTAAATTTTCTGACAATATTTTTGTGTTGTGATAAGATAACAAAATTGATTGGCTTTAGTTGGAGGAAAAAAAAAATTGCGTGGTGAAAAATAGCCTGGATTCAGTTTTATCTGAAGGAATAAAAAAAAACCGTGTCTGCCAAGATTTGTGTGCGGCTTGAGCATAACAGCAAAAGATGAATTATTTGATTATTTGTCACACAACATGCCTTTTCACGACTATTTCAGTCTCTCTCTCTCTCTCTCTCTCTCTCTCTCTCTCTCTCTCTCTCT